GCCTGAAGTCCAGGGCGCTCTCTATAAAGATGGATGTAGCTGCAATCACCGCCACGTGGTGCTGGAACTGTCCGTCTACCTAGCTTGGGGCGGCGAATTGAGAGTAGAGACGTCCAGTCATAAGCATCGTTCGTATATGTTATCGACAAACGGTCTCGTCGTGCTGGTGGGTGACCATGGACAGGCCTATGCTCCGCTGATGGTTAGTTTCCCATTTGTGCGTTAGGCGGTAGCTCACCTTGTTCTACGAGAAGCTCGAGTCCGCCGAGAAAACGGTAGCATCTGAGAATCTGGAAAGTCTGTGCCAGGCTTGCTCACTCATTTGCACGACAACAGCGGAGTTTGAGTCTATTCATTTTGGCAGTGTATGCACATGTCCATATAGCTTAAGCGAGCATTCCTAGGGTTGAATTCATTGCCTCCCTGAAAACACGTCGTGTATCTTTCGCGGAAGGGGCCAATGCGAGCCTCCATTTGTGTCACGATCCAGCCTCCGGGGTTAAACGTCAGACGGGCTGGTTCTTGTGGGCTCAGTTCTGATCATAAGGCAAAGACTAAAGGCCTTTGGGATTGTCGTGGCTCTGGGAAGAGAAACCATTACGCTTGTTCGAGTGACTGTGACCTAAGCAGTTGGTCAAGTACACGATTAGAAAGATACTTCGATTAATCGCCGAGGAGGAAGCATAATGACTGCCTAGCTACGCCACGTTCAAGCCCCAACCATATTATACGAGGTAGCTAATGGTTTGCTTGTGCGACGATATCTATTTCAATTGCTACCGTCTTGTGGGTGAGGGGCCTTGATGGTGAACAGCTGTGGCAAGGGCACCGCCACTAATTTGGCATGGTTGGCTGATGGCCGGATGCAGTTATGAAATAGCTCGGTTGGCAACCTTTCGCTGCTCTTCTTGTGCCTTCCTATTCTCCCACTGTTTCTTGATCTTTTCGTACTCTGTGTCTCTCTTTAGTCAGATTTCCTGCTAGCCAAATCAACTCCTTGTTGGACGTCATACCTGCGGATGTCTTCTTCTCCCCATGTTTTTTAATGGTCATGTGGGTGTTGAGATGGTGCAACGTCCCGTAAGACTTATCACAGCCATCCCAGACGCAGATGAACTTGCGCTCAACATCTTCTGGCCGACGACGCCGTCGTTTATACAGCTTTTCACCAGAGTGTTGGGCAACCGGATAGATCTGCTCGGTATAATTCTTGAAATTACCCAAGTAATTAGCGATTGTAATGTCTCAAAAAGCGGATTGGCGAGCAACCACGTGAAGAGATGCCGTGGCTGCTTCCTATATAAGACAAGGTGACGATTGGACTGAAACAGAACCAAAACCCACCTGGCTGAGACGTTCATGGAGAGTTGATGGCGCTGTATAGGGGTGGAGGTGACCATATATCTCCCTCTCGGTGAGATCTCCAGGACCCACAAAGTTGGCCACTGGGTATTGAAGGTGAACAGGCTGGCCCACTGTCCCGTGGGTGAAAGATACACTGCCATGAGAGAACTGGCGGCTCTGATAAGAACCGTGCCCATCTTGCATCAGCTTCAATGGTTCCACTAGACTTCCGCTGTTACCGCTCGTATCACTCATTGTGGACAGGTCCTGTAGATAACCGAATGTTGGGAGAGGACGAAGAGACATCGCAGGCTGAGTATATACGTCAATTGGCCGCAGGGACACTGGCTTGGCGTCATTGCTTGATTGCGTAGGGCAGGTTGTAGACGCGCCACTGCTGCGGCTGACTGGCAGAGGCCCTGTTTGCCAATATCGAAATTCCATCAGAGTATTCTTGGAATCGGTCGTTCGTTCGGCGATGGAGTGCGATCCACTGGCGGAGCAGCAGCCAGATGGCGACTTTTGTGTGTGAAGAGAGCAACGACGTAAGATGGACAGACAACTGTAGTCGCTTGGCATTATACCTGAGACCAAATAGTTGATCAATAACGGTAGGCGGCGGAAGACTACTTAAGGGAGAAGACAAAGGGGGAGGGAGAGGAGCATACCTATGTAAGACTGGAAGTATTCAGGATCCTGGTTTTGGCAAAGCATAATCTGCCTTGGCTGAGCTGAACTGCAAGGCATAAATGAGAAGTGGCTAAGACAAGGTAAAACAGATTGCAGAAGTGGCGGAGGCGACTGGGGTCAGGAGTGCATTGCTACTGGTATACAAGGGCCGATGCCTAAAGGGGGATATATGTAACCGATAGAGTTCTCCGAAGAAAATGAACCGGGAGATATTGGAATTAAGAAGGTCGAAGCCACTCAGTGGCAAATGAAAGAACTCGCCAAAGATTCGTAGCCTTTCCTAGGGGGCTTATAACACAGATTCCACGTATGAGTGGTATACATATACTACGAGAGGTGTTTATCAGTTATACCTGCTGAAACCTAGATAGGATTAGCTGTAAAACGTACGGATCACGAGGATAGATTGAGACAGGCAATGTCGCGGATCGCCACTATCGTAGGCAATGCCGAAAGAAAATAGCCTCAAAACCAGCACGTACAGATACTCTGGTACGTCTGATAGCATTGGAAGCACCAGAATCAGGGATCCGCTCCTCTCATAGTATCTAGCTCGTCGAATCCTCCCTTGCTTCCTCGAAAGATGACGGCGCAGAGGTAATCCCGACTGCAGTCATTATGACGAGCCGCGTTCACCATCTGCTTACAACTGCCAGTAGTTTATTATTCTGGTGTACGAGATAATAAGTACAATGAATGCTCCTTGTGAGCTGTACTGCTTGCCTTTTCGCTGCTGGCCTTACAGCGTCGTTATGTCATTACGACACATGTCGGTCGAGCAGCTCTTACAAGGTACAAAAGCATCGACATCTCCGACTCCATACTGCGAATTCATTGCCATATGGCGCCATCGAAATTTGAGCTCGGACAGCAGAGACGAATGTGGGTCAGGCAAAAGACGTTCCGGCAGAGAAATATGACTCCGGGCCAAAAGTGGCTCGATTCAGTCCTTGAAGACAGCCGCTTCAAGCCGAAACGTCACTCGGTCATCCCGACAGCCCAAGAAGATGTGCTCGGTACTCTTATAGACGATATTTTCCACGGAGTGCCCTATGAGGTGCTTCCCTACAAATCAAGGAACAGCAACCCTGTCACAATAGTCACGGAAACACTTTGCTACTTCGAATCCCTTTACCGGAAGACAGATCAGGAGGCTCACGCTTATTTCACAAACAGGTTGGACGAAGCCTCATTTACCAATTTCCAGAAACAGCACGGACCCCGGCTGGTGGAGATTCTCAGAAAGAGCCATCTCAGAGGCAGAGACGGGTGGCTCTGTGAGAGCGAGATCTTCACGTGTCTGCAGCTTCTTCTCGAGACTGTTCCAAAAGAGTGCATCATGGCCCCAGATGAGGCCGTCATTCCAGCCATTGAAGGGGAGCCCTTACAACTCTTCGATCACAAGTTTCTGGCGCAGGTCCAGCAGGAAAAGCCCAGGTGTATACTCCTCCCCTGGAACGCTGGACATCACTGGGTTCTTTTCCTGATTCACCTGAGCGGGAAGGGTCTTTTCATAATTGACACGGTTCCTCGAAGTAATAGCGAAAAGTTTGCGGTCGAGTGGGCTACGCACTTCATGCCTGTCTGGAACACGACTGGTTTGGGCGACATAAACTCATGGGCACTCTGCAAAATTGGGAAGCAAGATGACGACTGGAGCTGTGGCTACTGGATGCTGGAGGTTGTGCGCCGGATCTGTTTTCAAAAAGGCCTACTCGAGCAGAACTGCAAGGCCCCCACGGCGCTAATCAGTGCTGGAGGCCCCAAGGGTGTCGATCCACTCCTCGATTTCATTCGTTCGGCTATCAATATCAACATCACGGAGGACCATCTCGCCTAAAGCATTCTGCCTGAAGGCCATCGATCACAGAATACTGATAACATAGATTACAAGCACAGATGAGGGTCTGAACCTCTTACGTCTGAGCGTGGTCTTGTGATTGATGATAACTTCAAAGGCCTATGATGCACACCACAAACGCGATAAGGGCAGATATAATTGGAATAGGAGTAGGGATACCGCTTGCGATGTACAACAATTTCGCACAGGTATGGACCTCTGCTGTCGAACTTGACGTGCAGAAGACACTTGCATCTTCTCTCTTCGCAGTACACGCCTCATAGAACGAGACTCATAACTCTAGGAGTGTATGCGATAGGTTGAACCGGCTTCGGCCGGAGGTGGCTGGCCTGAGGTCAACCGCGTTCCACTGTGGCGATAGTTCTCGGGTCAGCAATTCCCACTCTGTTATCGTTGTCTTCAAACACGAGCTAGGAAACTCCATTCCGGTATTGACAGGGCTCCGGTCATATGCTAGTGTGTAATCCTTGGTCGTGCATAAACGGTGCATTACAACTTGTGTATACGGAGCTCAGAGCCCTCGGGGCACTATAATGTAGCTGGCATGCCTGGCCGAACTCACATATATTCCCTCGGTGACCGGTGTGTTATCAGATCGCATTTGCCCAGTCTAGCAGGCACGGGGTTCGAGGGTGGATTGCAAAGAAGCTACCCCATGCTGAGACGCAACATGAATAGCGGGGTTGATTTCATTTACTGAACGCTTTTCTAGAATACGAGCCTAAATAGTTGGTAAAACATGCGGGTAAGACAGTGCGACTCGACGCGCGGCTCAGAGCTGTTTTGCTTTGTCACACAGTCCCGCAGAAAACTAACTGTGTGATCATGCTGAGCTATTCACTAAGGTTGAAATACGTAAATAGACTTTGGTCAGTCTGTGAGGGTTGTGGTCTGATGTAGCTGAGCATGTCGACTATGGCCTCAAAGGCTCCGTTGAGTTGTGGAAACGTTGATTGTGATGTTAAATCAGGGGCAGGATATGCCGAGCTATGTATCTAAAATGCGGCACCCCCTCCCGTAAATGTTGCATAATCCTTATCGTTACTTGGTACGAGGATCCATCTTAAATGAGCTCTCGCGCTCTTCAATTGTTTCAGGGAAATTTATGGACTTCGACGAGTATGCAGAAGACTACCTGCGCTACTTACACGGTCTCGAATCTGACCCAGAACTATCTATCGACCTCAGCGGCCTCGAAAGGTACTTTCAGGGAGTTTGGGCGGAAAGAAGTTTCCTAATCGACCAAATGCTTAATTCGCAAAAGAGACTAGATTCTGGTTTGTCGTTTAGAACAGCAGCACTATCGGTCCGGATAATCGATCGATATCTGGGGAACCTGGAAAAGGGGCCGCAAGGCGACGCCCTTGAAATTGAAGATTATCAATTAGTGTACACCTCAACTTTTATTGCTATCAAACTAATAGAAGGTTGGCCGGACTATCTCAGGTGTGCCAGCGCTATACAACACGGTGTACTAACGGATAACCACGCCGGTGCGGAAAGGAGAATACTCACAAGTCTCGGGTATCGTCTCGAGTATCCATGCATATCAGATTACAAACACCCCCCTGAGAACTCGAAGACTCGTTTCTGGAGCACGTTTGAATACTTGAGAGAAGTTACTCTAATCAGCCATCGATTTATCTCGTATACAGCCGAAGAACTCGCGGGTGCTATATATAATGCTGCAAACGAGGTTTGTAATCTATTTGAGGAGTCATTAAAGATATGCTACACGGATATAGAAGGCCAGATCAGGGATCACCTAGTCAAGTTTCATCAGGAATTATCTTTTGTGGAACTTGACGGACTCCGAAGTCGATGGAAAACAGGTAAGCTATAAACGACCCTTACTGACGCTAGAATAGAGGAGCTAACAAGCAGCGCATGAAGAACTGAACATCACTTATGTCTGGGCTTCGCTTTCAAATAATCGCCACGGTGTTGTAGACCGTCTTCGGGGAGTTATGCAGCGCATGCGAGCTCTCCAAATGCGCCTTGAAAAAGATCGTCCTCCACGTGCATCATGTATTTTAACCTGAGCTATCTATCTAGAAGAGTCATGTTTCGTAATGCGCAACATGCCCTGTTGTTCATTCGTGGTTTTCTAGCCCAAGTAGGGTCTACAAGAGTATCAAGTGCTCAAGCGGTCGTATTGAGTCCAACAGGACTTCTTAGCCAATTCCAGGACGCTCCCTTCTGTCTTGGAGCGAGAGGGATGGCCAGATCGTCAAAAACAAAGCCAAACCAGACAGACGTACAACCCAGTTTTCACGGGCTTTACCAGGGGCATCACCTGAGCAGTGGGCTGCTGACGGGGATCTTGGGATGGCTGCCTCAAAGGGTGGCCTTCCAGATACTTACGTGATTTGCTTACTCGCGAATGAAATTAGGTGTAAACCTCTTAGTCATAAAATAATGGTTAAGCTTCGTATATATTATACGGACATGTAGCCAAAAATGGATCATCGGCTACCTAGTAGTCAGTGCGCCGAATGCCACGCACACGGAGCCATATTCCAGCGCAAACTGTGAACGATGTTGATGCGATGTGGACTCAACTACTAACTAAAGATCAAGCTAGGGATGTGAAAAAGGATATCGTGGAATCCCTGGAGAATGAAACTCATGCACAATCCTTTATGAGTCTTGCTATCGATGACTTCCTCAGGGCATTCGATGCTACAAAAGAACGAAAAGAACATTGGCTTTCCGCGATTGCGGACCTGATAGAGTTTTTTGTCGAATGCTTGTACGATCGCCCTCCATGTAAGGATTTCATTCCTGACGAAAAAGGAGCCTATCAATTCCACATAGGAGAAGCCAGGCAAGCGAGCAATTCCCTTTCCCGCGCGTGCCGTTCTTCGTCCGATCGAACTGTAGAACAAACAAATGCGGCCCAAAGCTTCGACGATATGAAGCCCGTGGGACTGATTTTGAGAGACGTATCTCAGAAATGCGTCATGGATTATTGGTCAGCTCTGGCGATGCTTTGGAGTCGGCGCCGAATCGATAGCGCTGAATCAACTCGGCGAGCTAAGGATAAGCGCTTCAAGAAAGATGTCAAAGATAATCTGGCCTATCATCGTGCTACTTTCTTAAAGAAGGTCAACTCCTTACAGAAACGCGAGTTGCTGGCTCTATTAATTCAATGGGAAGATTTCTCGGAAGCAAACAATTCTGAGATCGGTATGGTGGTACGTGCTAACGCTGTAGATATTTCCATAGCGGTCTTAAACCAGTGTCAAAAGAATGACCTGGCTAAGCTTGGGGTGTCCCTGCAGCAAAATGCAGAAACGGATGCCGAAAAAATTGTAAAAGACTACTGGCCAAAAGAGCTCATGTAATGTCATCATTTATTCCATCTTCACGGGTCATATATCGCGGACTAAATTCTAGGCCGTATTTCCAGGAAAGCTACCATTTATTTATCATACGTCGTTACGCTTTATGTGCCGCTAGTCTAGTTATTTCATTCACGAGTTGGAAGTTACTTCAACAGAAAACACGGAAGCTTGAGGGAACACATCTTTTGACTGAAGTATGGCAAGATAGTTTCGATTTAGCTTTTGGACCACGCCGTTATGTTGTGAAGCCCGCTTGAGATATATCACCATTTAGTACGGTAGTGGTAAGCCTTCATAAAGTAGGATAATAGGACACCCATGGCGGGTAAAGCAAGGCTGATCCCGGCCTATGGCATTCAAGCATCGCACGTCACGAGACCATCGAGCAAGAGCTTCCGAGGTCCCTCTTTGTGTATTGCCCCGTCTCCAAACGCGAAGTGACGACGGAGCGAGCTTGCGACACGCCCACTGCAGTCGCGAAGAAAATGCCGCAATCCGCGTCCGTAAGTCTGCTCGCAATGGCACATCCGATGCTGCACTGAGAGAGTGACTTCTCTCCGTGATTCCCTACCGCTACAGCAGGAGCTGCCCTGCCAGAGCCTTCCGACTTCACCACGGACTTCATCACTTCATCCCAAGGCCTCCGACCACGGCCCTGCTGCGCCCAATCCGGTTACACAAGACCTTCTCCTTACACATGACCTTCTCCTTGCCGATCAACTATCCACAGAAGTTCTGTCATGGCCTTGGCATACACTTGTGTTCTACCCGCGTTCACCCCGCAGACTCTTTCCTGCATACTCCGCCACCGGGCCCAGCTTGGGTTCGAGTCGTCCATCACCAAACGTATGAACGGAACGAATGGGCCTCAGAGCCTCCCTGTATAGAACAGCAGCATTAGTGGTGATATCGCCGCGATGGCGATATGAGGAGACGAGGCCTTCGAACACGTTGTCATATCCTGTGAAGCGCTTCGTATTAGCCGAGAAGGATTCTGGCAGAAACAGGAGACACCTGCACCGAGAACCCGCGATGAATTAGCCGCGATGCCTCAAATCCCTGACCACGCATCTACTACCGCATCAATGGCAGTGCGCACCCAGAAAGACAGAAACGAGGGCCCAGCAAATAAAGGAGGAGTTGACACACGCACGAGCAGTCGCGAGAGCCCAGCACAACGCAGCAGGAGAGAACAGGGCGCGGCGGGGCGACGGCGCCCCACTCTCTCTAGCCTCCCCCGCCGCGTTACGGCAACACCCGCACTGACAAAAACCCGTGACAAACACCAAGAACCAAGACGAGAAACCCCGCCCTCTACTCCTTGTCCTTGTCCTCCACGACCCGGCGCGCAAACCGTGGACGAACTTACAACACCACGAGCTAGGCTCTCAAGAGCCGCCATCTGACGCTCGCGAAGCGAGCGATCAAGAGACTCCGCGAACTCACTGCCGCTGACGTGGCCTTCGGCACGACCCTTCCCGAGCTCGGAGGTGAAGCAGAAATATATGGATCCTCCGGGGAACCCACGCGGTTGGTTAGCTCAATGGGGCGGATGACGGATTCGCCTACCACAGGATTGAGCGACAACCACATACACACGCACCATTAGCGATGCGAGACCGAAGCGTGTGGTAATGTACTTAGTTAGTCATGTGGGTGAACATTTCTGGCGCACGTAGCTAAGGGGGCCGTACCTTTCCTGATGTGCACAATATATCAGCGACGTCCTAGTGCGGCGCGTTGACCTAGCGGTGTCGTGGCTTACGGGCGTCTCGGGCGGAGCCGGGCCTGAGCTGGGAGGAAGGAGCGCTGCCTGCTCCTGCTGCTGTTGCTTTTCTTGCTTCCGAAGCAGCTTGATGGCCTCGGAGGCTAGGATGGCGGCGGCGAATTTGCGGCCAGAATGGGAGCCCTTATACGAAGGTGTCAGGAAGGGCTCAGTACAGCTGGAATCGGCGACTTACCTATCAAGATTGTTGCTGCTGCCGTGTGAAGGTTAGCCAGACGAAGCAAGCGCGGAGCGTCTATTCATCCATGAAGACGACGGCAACGTCGTCATCGTCTTCAAAAGAGCACTTAGGGGGTTGACGGGCTTGGCGAAGGAAGAAACAGAACGAACGAAACGTGCAGCAATGAGGCTGACCTATACCCAGGCACTGCACCGATGGCCATCTCGCCCCAGATGCCGAAGTGCTCATTGGGCATTCGGCGCAGCGCTAGAGGGGCTTTCGCGCACCGCCCGCCCTGCGCACATGGCCGGTCTGTGGACGGTCTCCCTGTGCAAACCGTGGTTACTGAGGTCCTCCGTTTCAGTTTTCGGCAACGTCTGGCTGGCTTGCATGCGACGAGAACGTGGAGCGTACGCGTGGAGGAGACGCCAAGGAGATAGATCAAACGTGCTGTCGTACCTCGACTGACTTCGCTTTGCTATCCGCCCGACATAATTGAATAAGGGCAGTTAATCTTGTTGGCCAATTCGTAATACTCCCAGTCGCAACAAAACTTCATACTGACTGCATCGAGCCATCAATCTGCACACACCACGGCGCTGCTGTCATCATTGTCCACGATTCCCACAGCCAAGACGTCTGAAGTAATTTGCTCGCAGGTGCCATAATAGAACAATTCCATATGTTTCAAGACAGAGACACGCTCCACGTACGGTTATGCTTGAAAGACGAGAGTTATGATACCGCAGATAAATTCCGTCTAGATAGCTACTGAAGGCAATTAGCGCCACAATACCTTCCATAGTCTATGCTGGCTTTAGTCTGCTATCGCTAGGTCTGGTACACTCCAGCGAGTTCTACGGTCATTTCGTGATTCCATGCCCCTTCTCTCCTCATCTTTTCACGAACATCGATGTCTCGCTGCACTTCCTCCTCGGTCAGTCTGTCTGCGCCGCTCCAGTCGCCACTCGATTTTCTTCGTCGAAACATGTGGAAGCGATCCTTACTCTCCGGGAATAATTCCTCCATATTGAGAGGGGCGGGCTTTCCGAACACGAGGAATGGGTTCACATTCTCCTGGTTGATGAGTGCCTTCCTGAGAGGCGATGCATCGGCCCATGAGGCAGTTTCGACCCTTTTAACATCTTCGTAATCGCTGTCGTCAGTGTCCGTGTCAATTTCAGGCAATTCAATAATGTCTCCGTTTTCGGAGCGAGAAGATTGTTCTGGGGATGAGTTGCTTGTACGCTGGGTCGCTGTAGATGCCGGACCACGGGAAGAAGAGTGAAGGGCGGGGTTTGAAGAATTGATCCTCGAGACCGAGGGAATCGTAACTTTTGGCCCCGGAGTCGAGTCCCGTGGTTGGATGGCTTTGCCCTGTTGACGTGGAGCGGCATCCAAGCTGCTTGACGCAAATGTCTCCTTGATTGTATTTCTTCGGGCCACAGGCGAGATCTCGTGCTTTTGCTCGTGTAAGTTGGTGACAGGAAATTCATTGAATTTGGCGTCGCAGAGCTTGCTAGAGCCATCTCCGCCAGCCGTCAGTAGCTGCTCCCCGCTGACCTCGAAGGGAGCGAGGTCGTCTACAGCGTAAGCTGTGTCAAGCTTCCGCTGGATGCCTTGAGAACCTCCTTCAAGGCGGAGCACAAGATCGTTTCCTACGATGCCCGAATCGGAGGTCGAGGCAAGGGCGTTGCATGGGTTGTTGCACGGCAAGTATTTTGTTGAGCCAATGGCCTGTCCAAGTTTATCCGCAACACCTGCCCTTTGTTGCGCAGCACAAGGTTCGGGTTTCAAGTCTCCGTTGTTCGCGTACTGAAGCTCACAGCATCTGGTTGGTCCGCACGGAGACAGATCGAGTAAGAGTGCGCGGGTATGTTTCATAGTCTTCCGAAGAAGAGCCGCGAGTTCCGGATTTTGGGACTTTAAAGCCCAAACATAACCTAGATTAAGTTCTGAGATGCGGCAGGGATTAGCCTCCATACCATCATCAATTTCGGATAGTCCTCGGTCGCTTACCTCTCCGCCGGTATTGTTTCAAGCTGGGCATACTCTCAAATGGAAACCAATCTAGATGAAACTCTACAAAGCACCGCCTAATCTCACTTTCTTCAGGGAGGTATTGTGGCAATATTGATTCTTCGAACAAATCTTTAATCTCGAATGCGATTTTGTGTATTACGTTCGCAAGGTCCTTGGATGTATACAAAATGAACTTGTGGCTGAAAAGGCTTACTTCTCCCAAGTACCAAAATGTTTCCAGAACGCGCGTGTTCCAGTTATGGGAAGTATAGTCAGAAATGGAAGAGTGCTCGAGTGGGTTGGATAACACCTTGAATATCTCTTTTTGTAGGATAGCGTGATCCCTCATGACCTCTCGTTTCGTGACGGCGGAATGGTCTTTCAAGGCGTCGTCGCAAAACTCTTTTAGCTACGGTTTCGCCTTCTACCTGTTTCGTAGCAAGATATGTAGATGTAAATACTAATTTATCGTTCTCTGTTCTGCATACGTTGCCTTTTTGCCCGAAGTTGAGGCTACTAAGATAGCGATCTACTATTCGAACTGATAGTGCTATTGTTTCGAACGGGAACTTGTATTTCTCTCGGTATGTGACAAATTTATCAACTAGCCTGCTCCTTTCTAGCCACGCCCCTTCGAAATAGGCCTCGAGATTCGTAAGGTAAATAGACAGAGCTAGATCAGTATCGAGTGTAGATAATCCGTTAAGGTGTTCCTTTCCATCTTTGTTGAATCGCTTCGCCATCAGGCATATAAGAAACAGTGTCTACGGGCTTTAAGATCTCCTCAACATGTAGAAGTGGTCTCATTCACGTAATTCATACAGTATGATGTACGTGTGCCCCTCTTGTCACAAGCTGATTGCACTTAAATGAGCATTGCCAGGATGTTATTCTATGAGGTAAGCAAAGCTCGAGAAATATCGAAGCTGGTCGATTCTTGCTCTTTCCAGGAAGTCGTGATTCTTGGAGGGAGCTGTCACTCCCGCGCAAGCTGTAGATAGCTGGATCGCGGACGTAGATAGTAATCAATGTTGGTCTAGAAACTCCTCAAGACTCTAGGGACCGTTACCCACACTCGCGATCAACTTGTCGAGCTGTGGACTTTTATCGTTGCATCATGCTGTGCCGTGCTGAGCCTTGCGTAATTTCTCGTGTCCGATCCTAACGTGAGCTCGGGCGCCGTGTCGCCATTGATTATAGTTGCTCCGTGTTCGAAGTCGCTCACTTTCCGTTTGACGCAAAGCGGAAGGTTGGACAGGGAAAGTGATCTGGATTCAACAATGGATAGTCTACTGGCATGAAAAAGCTACCAGCGGTGAATACAAAGTCCTTTTACGGCTGCCACACTTCTATAGAACTCTGTACAATTAGAGCGGCCGAGGCAAGTCTCGATCACACCCACTGCGTGACCTTAGCGACAAGAAGTTTTCAGGCTACGCTTCAGAGACAGCCGCTTAGTTTATTGAAATCACGACCTCGGGCATGCCTGCTGGATCAAGCGCAACGCAAAGGCCCAAATGTACGAAATGCTTCCCTAGGGTCGACAAACAACACCCTGGTAAACATGTCAATTTCCACCCTCAAAGACACGAATTCGCTTGTCTATGGTTTTGGTGTATTTGAAGCCGCGAGTAAGCCACTCTCGTGGATGCAGTGGTGAAGCAAACTGATCGGGTCAATGCCGCACCTTGGAGGCTGGCGAAACGTCAACAAGGACACAGGGTAGCAGTCGCAACGCGTGCAGTCACGGACAAAGGCATGTGTAGTCCTTCTGAAGCTTGTAGCGACGTTGACGACGTCCCAACTCGCACTAGTTATCTCGCGCTCCGCCAAACAGGCCCGTACCTCAAATAACACCAGTCCAAAAGAGATGGGTCTTGCCACCTCGGTCTCAGGGCACCACCAGTCTGCACTCCCCCCCAGGGCCTTGTCCTCTGGGAGTCTGATGCCTCTGCGACCCGCTGTAGCTACTTTGCCACCTAATCCACCAGATTTCCAGGTCATCTGGTGCACAGAGCAGGGCTTGTGGTCCTGCAATGTCTGTTCGCCTCCAGCCCTGCTACTTCCCGAGATTCCTAGTCGCACATTTTCCAGTTCCAGCCTTCCGGTGCCGCGCTCCATGCTGCCCTTGCTTCGGTCATGAGGCATTGTTCATGTTTAATCTTGTTCAATTGTTGAGTCTTCCTGGCTATAGCACATCCTCGGGTCATCACCGTATGGGGTGGCGAGCTCGAGGCACCAGCGTTTCGTGCACTCCAGGAGATGCGCGCTATGGGCCGATCTCTGACCGTATGCGAGCCATAGTGCCCAACGAGGACATGGTGCTCTCGCGGCACTGTCCTCTGTTCGGAGAAGTAGATCGACCCTACCGCGCATTAGCTGGTCCCCTGTTCCAAGGGTTTCCACACAGTCGACCCCTGTGTGCGGATCCCACGCCACTTCTTCGTGCCTTTCATGGAGGCGGAGCACGCGTCGACTGCGCCCCCGCTCGTCAAGGTCGCTCTGGTCCCGTGAAGGCCGCTTGCGTAATTATGCAGCGCATGTCTCACGCTGCGTGTCGGCCGTGATCTTTAATGCAGGTCTTAGTTGCGCGGGGTGCGCGATCCGGGCACTGTTCTTCCTCGCCGCTGTGCACAACGCCAACGCAGTGCCGGCAGCGGGCTGTTGATTCGTAGGTATGGGCCTTAGGGCCAGACCCGTATTAGTTGAAGCATTGCAGGAACCGGAGACGAGGTCGTATAGCTCACAATCGAACAGCCGCGCGTGCCAGACGAGGCCACAGTTAACCAGCTCACTCGCTACGGTAATGCCGCTCGTTAAGGGAACGAGTAACGGCGTGTGTGGCCTGTGGGCCCTTTGGCATGTCACCCCTTCATCTTGTGATATCCTTAGTATTCCCTTCAGGTAACGCAACCTTGCCTGAAAAGGTGACGATGACAGCACTTGACTGGAGGCGCGTCGCTGTCATTGCCTCGCCACCGCGCAGGCCGACACCGACCGGCTCGACTATTGACCCGGACTCCTTCTGCAGGAGCGAGCCTCGCCGACGGGGCAGAGGTAATGGCCTGCCATTTTCGTTTGTCTGCGAACCTGCAGCGGCTCCTGTCCAAGTCGGCCGTTGTGTCTCGAGTGCAGCCGCTACGGTGGGCGCGATGATCGCCTTGATGTCGTTCTCGCCGGTGGTCGTCTCTAGGCGCCTTACCGTCGCCTCGTTGTCGCGGAGCTCGGACTATCGGCTCATTGGGTCGCGTGCTCCCCCCCCCCCCCCCCCCCATTTTCATCGATTGTTCCAAGTTTGACTATCCCGTTCTCCATGTCGTCGACTTTAGGCTCGTCGCTCATTGTCCGGTCGCTCGTTACGTAGTGCACGCCGTTTGCCGTGCTGTCGCGCTCCGTCCTGCCATGGGGTGGCGCTGGCTCTAGTCAAGCGGCACCCGCCCAGCAATGACCATCGGGTCTAGCATCGCGCGCGCCAGTGATGGGCGCACGAAGTGATGGCACTGCTATGTCCTTTCGGACCTGCGGATTCGTGCCTTCTGGCTATTGTCAGATTTGCCGCTTTGTCCTTGAATTATTGGATGAAAACCCCCTATACGGCGAAAACTTCCTGAGCATAGAAAATATCGTGGCGATACTGAAATGAGAACTTTTGCGGCGGAAGGCGAGCGCGAACTGGGATAGGGTATACTTTTTTGCTCGTTTGTGCCAGGTCATGGCGCAGGTATCATGTTATGGTGTCTTACTATGCGTGATAGGCGTCTGTCGAAGGAATCATCCCGGCTGATGCTCGAAGGGCTATTCCGTCGTAGCTTTTTACAACGATAGGCTGGAGGACTTTGCATGTTTGTGGACTCGGAGCTTCCTTGCACCTTCTTATTAGTCTGAATTGCAGCTCTTCGAGTTACGTCCTGTCATTAGCACCACCCGAGAGTAGTGGCAAAATCCAATAACGTCGACTCGCCTATATAACTGTCCCCTCCGTGACTAAATGTACAAAAAGGAGTACAAATCTAGGCAAACCTCATTCAAAGATGCACGGAGCGGCCAATTCCGTGTGTAAATTCCATGGACTATCATGCATCAGGTCATGAATACTAGCACACAAAGAACATGACGTCTTAGTGTCGGCTACGAGACCGCTCATTTAAAGCCTATACTTTCTTCAGGTTCCGCTACATAGTATTGGGGGTTCCCAATCACACATCCAACACACGGCGGAATCTGCAACATAAGCAGGACGTCATCGAATACGTAAAGCTTTCCCCTACCTTTATATTGAAGCACGATAAACCCCTCCTCAAGGTGCGAGGCCTCTGCCCGACGTGTAATAAGGCCATCTGTACTTCCGTTGCGACATGGCACCAAAAAAAGTAAACGGGTGGGCAACATTCTGGACCACTATCTTCGATGAATATGGGATAGAGCCCCCAAAAGAGAAGTCGGAAATTCTATGGACTTTAGTACGGTTCGTCAACCCACTTCGCCAAGATCATATTCTCGAGAGTGGACATGATACTCGCGCGGCGAAAGTCGACTTGGCGATAGCCATCCAGAAACAGGACCATTTAATAGATTTTACAAAGGGCGTATGTCAATGGCTGTGCGAAAACCAAACAGGGAGTCAAATAAAACCAGATACCGAAGCCATTATGAGAACATTTCAGATCTATAGGAGTTTTGGAGAGTGCGATGAAGAAGAGCTCACATCATTCGAATCTACGGTTGTTGAGTTATCAACTGGACACGGGCCAGTAAAAATCCCCGTACACTCCGTAGCCCCCGTGATACCTGAAAAGAGTAGACAGAGTCTTCTCTCCGAAATTCCCAGTGAGGATACTCAGGAGACATTTGGAGCGACTCAAGCCATCCAGGACGACCAACTTGAGGGATTTGGGACCAGAGAGAACAACACAGTGACCACTAGGTCCCTTGCAAGGAAATTGGCGATACGTGAGGCGGGGATTCGCCAGGCGGGGATACGTAAGGCGGTGAACAAAAGGGGAAGAAGGCCAGTCCCATTAGGGACCCAAATATCCAAGTCGACGGGCATAGGTTATGGGAATGAAGAATCAGATCTCAAAAGAAACCATGAAGGGGCTTTGCACCCACGAAGCACAGCGATGGACGTGGACGTTGGTGTGGAGCAGGTGCAATATAATAAAGAGGAGGATGGACAAGCTTTACACGAGCGAAGCACAAAGAACGATGGCTCAAGAGGGCTGGAGGCAGGACTCGGGACAATCAACTATCAGACGTCAGCAGACGAAATCAAGCGAGCCACTGGACTGTCTTCAGAAATTCATAAGCACAAAATCCCAGATCAACACGAACTGGCGCATAACAGCCCGCAGAGACAGGATGGCCCATCGCAATTATCAGGGCCTCCATCGGAGCAGGCTAGCGCCGGCGGTGAAGCAAGCGAGCCATTAACGAATGAGATAATTCCAGTTGAGAATCATAGCTCGCAATTCATTCAGGGAGCCGAGGATGGGGACGAATTAGGGAACAAGCGAAGTATAGATATAGAACCCATTCTCATAGATGCAGTCATGACCGAACACGAAGCCTCTCCTACCAACAGCACACATGGATCACTCAACCCGGTCTCGGAACCTATCTATGACGGAACTGACGACGTATCTGACGACGATAGCACAACAGGCAAGAATAGTGGTATCGCCGGTAGGATGGTGGATCTGGGGAATCAGTGCATTAGTTCTCACAAGGGTAGCATGATTGGGTACCAACATATCGAAGCGGTATCAGATAGCGGTTGGCAGAGACCCTCAGAGGAACGCTCAGCGCCGCAGGACAAGATTATGTCACAAGAGTTAGGCTGCAGGCCTGATCCCACACTAGCAGACTCCAATAAAACTCGCTCGGAGTTGGGCGAGAGGACAATTCGGCATTCAGCCCCAGATGAACACAATGAGCAGTCTCCGCCGGCAAACTCATGTTATACAGTAAAGTCTAGTGAGGAGTCGCACGTGGAGAGTATACAGAGTTCTCTGCCCGAAACTTCTATCGACGGTACTCAGAAGTCACAGGTGGAGAGCAGGCGGCGTCCTCGGCCCGAAAGTCTTGGTGACAACAGTCACGGAGCTTCTAAGAAGAGGAGATTAAACACGTCGGGGAAAGAATCGTCCACAAACCCCCCCACTGATGCGCCTCATGATGTAGACATGGTGGACCGGGACACGCGGAATTGCCACGACAGACTAGATTCGAAACAGCTTGATGAACAGCCTACTCCCCTTTCCCTTGACAATAAGGCTTCGGAGAAAGGGGCTCTTGGCGTAAATAGGAAACGGATGGACGATCCGGATGACGACACAAATGCTACAGACCAGATGGGCAGCACGCGTCACGCGGGAGACGAGTATAGTTCAGCTGTGCGAGATCAGGAAGAGGCATTTGGAGCGACTCAAGCCAGCGCGCCTTTCAAATTTGAGGGATTGCGGACCAGAGGGGACAACACAGCGAGCGTTCAGGGCCGTACAAGCAGGAAGAAGATATATAATGACACGAGGGCTGGGAGAAACACCAGAAGACTCAGGACGAGGGGCGGCGGTAGTGGAGAAATAGCAGATCCCCAAAGAAAGCACAAGGATGCTTCGCACCTACAAAGCACACAGATGGAATTAGACGAGGGTGTAGAGAAGGTGCAAGATCTTCAAACGGAACAGGTACAAATTGTACCCGAGGAAAGCAGGAACAATGATCGCTTAAGAGGCTTGGAGACGGGGCTCGTTACAATCAGCAATCAAAGCTTAACAGAGACAACTATGCGAGCCACTCGCCTATCCTTAGAAATGGATAACCACAAAAGATCAGATCAGCAGGACGTTATACTGAATAGCCCGCAGAGACAGGATCATACATCGAAATTAGCAGAGCCCCAATCCGAGCAGCCTAGCGTCCACCGGGAAGCAATCGAACCATTAATAAAGGGGAAAATTCTCGTTGACAACCTTAGCCCGCAACCCATTCAGGGAGCGAAGGACGGGGACGAATTAGAATACGCAGAACCCATTGACGCCGAAGATGAGGCCTTTCCTACCAACAGTACAGATGGAGCAGTCATATCGGCCTCGAAACCCATGTTTGAGCCATCTGACAACGATAGTACAATGGGGGGCGAGAATAGTGATACCCCTGATAGTATGGTTGATCTCGGTGAGCAGTGCAGTAGTTCCCATAATCACAGCCGGGTTGAACACTAACATATCGGAGCGGTATCAGATATCGATTGGCAGAGACCCTCAAGCGAGGCTGCCATAATCACGGATGAAGGCCAGCCTTCCACAGAGGAACGCTCAGTGCCGCAGAACAAGATCATGTCACAAGAGTTAGGCTGCAGGCCTGACCCCACAATGGCGGACTCCAATGAAACTGGCTCGGAGTTGGGCGAGAGGACAATTCAGCCTTTAGCCCCTGATGAACACAATGAGCAGTGTCAACCGCAAACCTCATATTATAAAGTACAGTCTAGTGAGCTCCCAACACCTCCTGAGGCGAACAGAGCAAGTGGTATGGTGGTCGTACTGTTTCAGAACGAGACTATCCAAAGCGCGCAATCCGACTTTGACGTGTTAGACCCGCCGCAGACCGAGAGCGGATTGGCTGGGGTCCCTGCGTCCAGAAGTACAAAGCCCTCGAACCAGGAGACACCAGATAACCGCCCTGCCTCGCCATTAGAGGAAGACGAAGGTATGCACTCCGGGGAAGATATACCCAACCCTCCGGTCTCCCAAAATAACGACACTGGCGAGCCAGGAGAACTTAGCCATGAGCCTATGCAAGGACTCCAGACCGGGACCGATCGGAGGATTGAGATGGAGCATGAAGGCTGTACCTATGACGAAGTCGAATGTGGACAGAAAGGGAGGGCGAGTAGTTCGAGATTCACAAGCCGCAAAGCGACGGTCTCAAAGGCTCGCAAAGATGTTGCAAGAGTAACTGGTGCAAGAGTAACCAGGTCTCAGGCGGTACAGAAAAGAACAACACATCTAGCCAATGCTGTTCAACGTGTGTTATCACAACATACCCAGAGAAGTCAGGATAGCAGAGGTGGGGATAGCTCGACCCCAGTCCCGGAGATGCGGGCGGGCATTGACCCAACCATGGATGATAGTGACATGGAAGTACTTGATGGGACAGAAGCCTCCGAACGACACCAAGAAATGGCGCTGGTCATGCGTACTTCAACGGGAGGGTCAATCGAAAGACCTCCAAACGAGGTCTCGTCGGGTTCAGGCCGAGAAGTGAGGATAATCGCAAGCCCGATGAAGACGGCGGGGCACACATCAGAAATCGCTAGTCCCTCGTTAGACACGGCCCACAGTATGGGAGTATATGAACGACCGATATCACCTTTCAAAGAGCTCTCAAGCGCTACGCAGGATGATTGCGGCATTTTCGCAGTCAATGAGACGATGGTTACTCAAGAAGGAGGCTGGTTAAGCACAACGCCACCAGCACATCTTCAGGGACATATTCTAGCTGAGAGAGACGCTGGTATAGCAGACCATACGGCCCAACTCGAACTGGCCGTTCGGAATATGAGTGACGAACTTGTAGAGAAGAACCGGGAGCTTGCAGACAAGGATTGGGCACTTGCAGAGAAGGATCGAGCAGTTGCAGAGAAGGGAAAGGCACTAGAAGAGAAGAATCGGGCGCTAGATATCGAACGGCACCGCGCGGACAGCTTGAGTGATACGCAGAATAAGCTACAACAGATGCTGAGCCAGTTGCATGAAAAAGCCGAAAACGCACGACAATGCGAGCAAATGGCAACTGACAAAGCATCCTGTCTCGAGACCCAACTAAAACAGCTACAAGAGCATGCTCAGCGGGATCTTGATGTTATGAGGAGTAAACTGGAGAGTGACATGAAGGAAACATTGGATTCGCGTGAAACCAAGCACAAGGAAGACCTTGGCAATATCGAAGCGGATTGGAAAGGAAAGCTCTGCGAGACGAGCTTCTACAACATTCAAGCGGCTTTACTAGCAACGGAGATCATAACAAAACTCATATCAGACGTTCGTCGCCTTGAAAAGGAAAAGAGTGAAGCCAGAAAGAGGTCCGATACGCGAATAACGGAACTAAAACGGGAGCACAGCGATGCTCAAGCGAAGTTAGTCCACAATATTGGACTTGAGGTTAAACGCCTTTATCCGTACATTAAGTCAAAACTAGACACGTCGCAGGAAATCTGCAAGATTCTGAAAGAAGAGAGCTCAAGACACAGGAATATGCTACGAGAGATCGCTGGCAATAGCCTAGATAAAGTGGAATTACATGCAAGAGATGGAGACGAACTCGTAGCGCGAGTCATGGTGTCTCTTCGAAACATGCAAGATAGCGTTCGCGCTGCTACTGAGGCGACCGCCCATGGTAGACTGGAAGAGCACGTGCGCGAAATTACAAGGCTGACTAATAACGAACAGAAGCTTCTGGACGAGGTTGAAAAGCTCCGTAGAGAGCAGGCCTCCACTTCAAAACTGGAAAGCCAGTACCAAGCAAAATTAGAGGAACTGGACAATGATCGGCAGCAGCTCCTCCTAGAAAGAAATAACGCAAAGAGCTCTCTAGACACTATCTTTGACCAACTGGACATAGATTTGTCTTGTAGGGACTCTACTGGGGAGGAAGATGCAGCTGCCCTTGTTGCATCGCGGGTCAATGAAATTCAACACCAGTGCGCTGTGTCAATACAGGGTGAGCTTGGAACAGTAGAAAGCTCTCTTGATGACATTATTGCTCGGCATAAACCAGTCTCATCTACAATCGAGATAGCAAACGAAGATCGCACTCCTAGGGATCGCTTGGCTAATCGCGTGATTCAGATCGGCACAATATGTGACGAGCTCAAACTGAGTAAGGAGATACTTGCAGAAGAGTGCAAAGGTTTGACAGAGGCCAGCAAGAGCGTCCAGCGAGATGAAGTGAGTCAAGCTGCGCAGGAAGGAAGAAAAGAAGTCCTTCACAACATTCAGCAACAGGTCTCAAAACATGCCGCACATGCGATTTGCGCCGGCCGGTTTGATAACGAAGAAGAAATTATTCAGCACTTGATCAAAACAGACCATAACCTTCAAGAGGAGATCTGGCATGTGGATGAGTTCCTCGATAACGTGCTCACGGGGGCGGGCGTGGAGCAATATATTGTTCGTGATATTGCGACTCTAGGAACTAGGAAAAGTAAGTTAGAGCACCTGGCTACAGTGTACGATCGTTTGTGCCAGTCAAACAAGGAACACGATACTATAAAGCGGCCTCAAAACACAAAGGAAATTTACGAGTTGAGTCCTACCAACAACGAACAGCATTGTAAGGATGTACGCTTGGCGCCAATAGAAAGTGAGGCAGAGAGTACCTCCATGCACCAATCAGAGGAAGTCGCGAGGTCCAGGGAGCCGTCCTGTGAGATCAATGTAGCGTCGAACGAGCACGACCAGGAACCGGAAGACACATGTATATTGTCCTGGGCAGGTGCATGTAATGAAGAGGAGTCAATTGACAGCAAAGACTTGGCGGGAGACAACACTCGCGCCGAAGCGATTCTCGCCGATGTTGGAACTCTCAAAGCCAACTTCAACATCAGAGAGGCCGGGAAAGCCGATGTCGAAACCATAATGGCAATAGAGTTATCAACAGAGGAGATACGCGACCTCCGATCAGCAGTATGCAAGTGGCTATCCGAGTGGCTATCCGAGTGGAGTAAGCAGCAGGAAGAGTCGTACGCAAGGATGAACAGTGAGCGAGTCAGTCTCCATAGTATTGGGCGTGGGACAGCTCGGTTCATGATGCATGGGACGGAAGTCACTTGCCTCAAGGATGATGCGAAACAACTCAAACCACCGTCAGCCCAAGTGCAGGCGGGCAGTGACGTCGAAGACGCGGTCAAAAAGCCAATTACTAAGTTTGCTAGCACACAAGAAGCCTGGGTCTTCTTAATTCAGAGCGAGATAAGGACCTTATCAACGAGGATATTAGATATAGAATGCGACACTACACGAACAGAGGGGAATGGTGCTGAGATGCAGAGAGTGATTCAAGAACTTGGCCGTTGGCATGACCACTTTCGAGCCCTTTCGGCCTACATAGTGACTCGGACGAGCGGCGCTATCAAGAAGGATCAAGAACATAAATGCGGCTATTGCAGACTTACAATGCATACTTACCGTAGATGTATAGACCTCGCTGAAGACAGAAGAAAGAAACGGGAAAATTGGCCAAAGGGTAGTCGTCGGCGACCTGGATAGTGCCTTGGTAGTTTAAGCGGGACTTCCAAGATAGAAAATGAATGGCCAGTAAAGATGACATGCGTCTGTTCGCCACAACTCGGGCATTCTAGGAGTGCTCGTCGCTGCTAAAGTCTGTGTTGCACCCCCGGCAGGCTGCGAGAAGAAAAAGGAGGGTTATCACCCAGCCGCCATTTCGTCCCTCGGTCGTGAATGACCGCCATTCCAATCTCAGCGCCTTCTTCCTCTTCTCTCAGCTTCCCTTTGAGGATAACCCTCGTGAAGTTTGGTTCGACGACGACTGCATGCAAGCTAGCACGGGTATTTTAGACGATCTGTCAACCACTTTCGGTATCTTTTGTTGCCTTTAGCATACCTTTAAACCCAGCCTCTTTGAACATATATACTAAGTACATCGGCGCAATTCTAGGTTCCGCAACGCTTCCCGCGCGAACTACTGAGCGGCAGACATTGTCTGATCTGCCTCCCTTGCTGCTATAGCATAAAATATCGCAACGGGATGCGTCTACAGGCACGGCACTTCTATGATTAAGGCGGCTACTGCCAGAACATCGACGCTTGTTATGCGCCAGATACTATGATATCTTTTGTGACTGTGACCCTGTATAGTGGCAAGCTCACAATCTGTCACACGGACATATGGAGCAGGGACCCTGCAGGAGGGGTTAATGCCTTACTCGTGCTCGGCGGTTAGAAACAGCCAACGAGAAACAACCAACAGATTAGGCAGGAGCGGGGCCCTGACATACAAAAGGCGGGAGCACCCGCCTCCTGAGATCAAGAGGAACTTAATCCTCAAGGACCTACAGTAACCCTTAAAAGATTATTAGCAATCTAAGCATCATTATGCCAAGCCCTCACATGAGCCCTTGTTACACAATCTACAAATTTAACAGCGGTGAGCCGGACATGAGCACCTTCCATAGCTGGGGTCACTTTTCGCAGGTCGTTTGGACATAGACCACCGCCGTCAGGGTTGCTATGGACAATTATTTGAGCATGCCTGGAAGACTGAAGAACGCTCGCGGTGGTGACTCTTTGGAACACTTGACTGTGTGCAGTTACCCACCATGGGGGAATTATGGTGGCTGGCTCTGTGAAACGAGTCAATGTGTCGCTTGTTCATCCTTCTGTGCTCGGAAATTATGATTATTGAAGGTCTGCAAGCTGCGGATGGCAGCCAATGAGCATAGGTTGTTTTACTGGGCTTGAAATCAGAGTAAAGACTATGAATCAACATAGATATGGACATCTATCGCCTTGTACAGTATGGTTGACCATACTTTGAATGGGGAGTTGAATGGGGACACTAGAATTCACAGGTCATAAAATGCATCGAGGTCTGTTAGCGAAGCTCTCAGCTCTAGTGAACTTCTCTAAAGGAGGCCTTAAGCTGACGAAATAGCAAGACTCCTGTCCACCCTCGGCCGGCCCCTGGAAAGGTTGTCCGACGGGCAGAATAATCACTCCATTATGTCGAGTGGTCTTACATGATAGTCCAGATAGACTGCGACAGATTGCGCAGTGCAGCACTGTGAGATAGCTGGGATACTAGGACGTGGTTACATAAAGTTCGTCTGCTTCGATGTTCAGGTATCAATGTGCTCGTCTTGCAAGTGCACGATATATGTCTTAATAAAGTGTACTATGATTTATATCAAAAGCGCTTGAAAATGGGTGAGTTTCAAGTTTATACTAACGTAATCCACAAGTGACTGAGACACCCAAGTGAATGAGACACTTTCCGGGTGCTCGTACGACAATGTATAAGAGAATTCAACCACAACGCCTTAAATCAATTGAAACTATGAGGAATCCTCTTCTTCAGAGGCAGATACAACTTTCTGACACGTACGCGCATTATGGCCGGGCTCACCGCAGACGCCACATCGTCGCGCGCGCGTTTCTGGCCTCCTCGTACGACCACTATTCTAACTCGTTTCCGCCATTAACTGCTCCGTCGCGTCGATTTGAGCCTTCAAATCTTTTGCCTGATCAATCGTTAGGGACCCTCCTTTCTGTAGCTGTTTTCTTTTCGTACGGCGACGGCGGCTAAGGCGGTCGTTTGCATCTCGAAGTTCGGCGAGTTCGTGGCGTACAAGGGTCTGCTCGTGCACCATTATCGCGATTCCTTTATTTAGCTGCCGTAGGCTTGCAATTATTGATGTTGGAGAGCTGCCCTGATGTCGTACGATGCGATTCTTGATATACTCCGTCTGCGATTCGGCCTCAACTGGGTTGTTCGGCGTCTTTGAAACCCATGGGGGTGGCAGTCCAGCAGAGGAACCTGGCGGTGTCGGCGTATGAAACTTCACATCTAGCTGCGAAATCACATAATTCGGGTCGTACGGTACTAGGCCAGTTGCACTAAAGCCTGCCTGGATGTTTGACTTTGTCATCGCAGCGTCGTACGCCTTATAAAAGGCTGGGAGGAAGTCCTCCTTTGAGATATGGGTAATATGCGCCCGCATAAGACCCTCGATTTCTTTGCCGTACGCCCGTTTGAGAGGGCTAAAGCACCCAACATTGAGAGGCTGGAGCTTATATGATAAATGAGCAGGCATATAGAGCGTTACAATGTTCTGTTCCTTGCAGTAGAGCTCGAAATCGACGGAATGGTGGCTCTCGTGGCCGTCGAGGATAAGGAGGCGGTGGGTACCCTTCGTACGACTCTTCGTATGGAAATCGAAGTGTTTTACCCATTCTAGACCTCTCTCGTTCGTCGTCCAGCCATTGTCTGAAAGCGCGATTACCCAGTCGGGCGGTAGGGGGCTATTCGCGGTCCAGGAGTCGAGGTGGACCTTCCCGGCGAAGATGATATACGGCGGGATTGAATAGCCGTACGACGCGATGCCCTGGATTACTGTAACCCATTCCTGATTCCCTTGTTGTACGGCTCTTGGCCTCCCGCGTCGATCGGAGGTCGTAACGACGGTTTCGGCGGAGATTTTACCCATCGCGAAGCCCGTTTCGTCGAAGTTATAGATGTCATCATCGTGGATCCCGTATTTCGCGATTATGTTTTGTACGAGCTTAAACCACGCGCGATACGCGTCCGGATCCTCGCAGAGGACCCTCTGGTAGTCGATTCTTCGATTTAAACGCGTACGGAGCTCAGGTCGTCGTCGTACGAAGTTTGAGGCCCAGTTCGTTCCGACGCGTGGCGCGTCGCGTACGCGGAGGAGTCGATCCGCCATTTCTCGAACACCACTAAGCCGCGGCGGAAACGATCGCGAATCTAGGTCGATTACGTATTGTACGATACTGTCCTCTTCGTACGAGGTCAATTTCTGGTTACGTGGTCGGGTATCGCCTTTCGCAGAGCGGCCGTGGTATCGTTGTTGTAGTGTTGTACGTGATACCTTATATATCGATGCAGCCTTTCGTACGCTTAATTTAGGGTCTGATTGAAGCGCATTTAGCGCGAGAATGATCTCTGATTCAATTGATTGTCGTGGCATACTTGTTCGTGGAGAAATTAAGGAAAGAAGAGGAGTAATTGAGAATTGCAGGAATATGACCCGGTCGCTTGTGTGACCCGCTTGCTTGTGGATTACGTTATAGCTAACTTATATGAGTGAAACCTCTAAATTAAGTTGTCCTGTGGAATCATTTTGGACCATTCCACAAATTTTGTTTAATAGACTCGAGATGATCTTAATAGATTTGGCTCCATCGACCGCAGCCTCGCCCAGCTTTGGATCATATTCACGACAGGTCACAATCTTATTAAAGGGCTCCGCCTGTTTCTTAATGTACTTATTGTAAGTGTTCTCATCGTAAGTGTACTCATCGTAAATTTACTGATCGTAAGTGTCCCCATCGCAAGAATTCCCCTCCGGCTCCTTAGGGATGGTTTGTAGTTTCCGCAAATGTTGTTTAATATACTTGAAATGTTCCTTAATGAAGCTGGCTCTATCGACCGCAGTCTCGCCCAGCATTGGATTATATTCATGAAAAGTCACAATGCTGTCAAATCGCTTTGTCTGCTCCTTGATGTAATTATCACCGTCAGTATCCTCCCCTGAATCCTCGGGGATGGCTTGTAGTTCGGGTATTTCAATATCCATGAGTTTGGCGACCCCCAAAAATTGTTTCGATATTTCTCTGTATGGGCCTTCCATTGTTGAGTTATACACACTTTCGTATGTCCCCTCGAACGTTCGTTTTCTCAGTCCTTCATAAACCCCATTGTAGATTTGAGTATAATGCGTGGCCATTTTCTGCCATGCTTTTGGCTTCCCATTCGGATGAACTTTTGCTGCTATAAGGAAATCAGAATCCTTCCTGGGCTGAAATAATTGTAAAGACTTCATCATAGTACATACCAAGAACGAGATAGCGACTTCTCGCGTCGGAGAACTTTACAAACTCGTCGAAGCCGAGGTTCTGGAGATGGGCCATAATCCTATAACTTCAGACTGCGGTCCGCTAGATACTGCTGCAAGTAACTCGTAAAGCACCATGAATATATAATGGGATTGCGCTTACAAAGAGTCACAGGTCTTACGTATGCGGGCAAGTAACAATAGAGCATCTAACATATAATCGAATCATTTGGCGGCTGACGTGTCAACAAACATTGTCGCCCCGATATGAGTACGATGACACTGTGACCAATATATTTGGGACGGCTGCGAGAAGACTTTGTAAACAACCGGTAGCTCCGCTTTTACGACTGACGTAAATCCACAACAATATTCAGGCGCATCAGTCTGACATAAAATGTACTGTACTGTAACCCTATGTCTTAGTACAGCGGTGGCAGCGACGTGGAAAACCCCGCAGCTTGTCTAAAGGCTCCCCATTTTTGCAAGGGGGAAAAGGCGTATCGTCTATGGTCGAGAACTGTTGCGCCGCGCCTTGGTTCATTTGGTGGTACTCCTCAGAAACGTCCCCACGCAGATGGTTAATGTAAATAATGCTGAGCGGGTTATCAGCAAGTCAACCGAGATTAACAGCTGAAAAAGGCTGCCCGGTAGATGATCAAGAGTCCGGGCGAAATAGAGAGTATCTCGTGACCTTCCTGTCTCTGGTGGCCTTACAAATATGAGAGGCCCTGGATGGGGCGTGCGCATCAGACAAGAGGTATTCAGCGTCTTGAAGCTAATACGAGGTCTTCTCGGTTGACGAGCTGTTGCGGGCGCCGCGCCCCTGTCCTCGCACCCCAGAGCCGTCCTCCATGATTTCAGATGAAGCGTCGGTTCCCTTGATTATTTTTCACACGTTTGCCGCGTTCAAGTAACGACCGCGATCCGTGTCCACAAAAAGCTAAAAGGCCATCGACTCCGCACGGACCTCTTTTGCCCAATTGTGGCTCAAGACTGTGCGTAGACTTATCAGCACTATGTAACTTCATTAGTTGCACTAAACCTGACAGCAACGCCCGCCCCGCTTGTGATTCGAATGATTATCTTAGATCGTTGCGCGCGCAGTTCTTTGCACTATCAGTGAATCAAAACCGGCATTCTTGATTAGTTGGAGGGCAAAATCACATTGAGCAGTAGAGAGTTACAGGTGGATGTCGAATCTGCCTTGCTCTGTAAGCGTCTTATCGGGATCTTCTCCATACCCCGCACTTTCAGCCTTGCGAGAAGAACGGTCCGACATCCTTCCACCATGAACCTGCTGCCTGCTTCTTTGTATCCTGCTTGACCTCCACCCATTACCTCCAGCTACAATGATCTCTCTCATGTCGATGAAGCACCCTTACTGACATCATTCATACCCCACAATGCGGCTACTACAGCGAGATAACGCCAACAACTACACCCTCACGGCCGCTGACAACACCCCTCCGTACGCAATTCTCTCCCACACGTGGGGCGCCGACGAGGTGGTCTACACCGATATAAAGGCGAGGCCAAGTGAATGGCAACAGAAAGTCGGCTACTGCAAGATCCAATTCTGCGCTGATCAAGCGAAGCGACATGGCCTACAACATTTCTGGGTTGACACTTGCTGTATCGACAAATCTGACGGCATCGAACTCCAGACTGCGATCAACAGCATGTTCAGATGGTACCGTGATGCGAAACGATGCTACGTCTATCTATCCGATGTTTCCTATCCCTCGACCTCCAGTCAGCCGCCAGGGGTTGGGTCGTGGGAGGCTGCGTTCCGCGGCAGCCGTTGGTTCACGCGCGGCTGGACACTACAAGAGCTCATCGCCCCGCAGACTGTCGAGTTCTACTCCAAGGAAGGTGTTTTCTTGGGCGACAAGAGGTCACTAGAGGCTGTCATACGCGACGTGACAGGTATTCCAGCAAGGGCTCTACGGGGCACACCATTGTCTGACTTTACGACTTCCGAACGAGAGGCATGGGCTCGCAACCGGGAAACAAAGTACGAGGAAGACATGGCATACTCGCTACTTGGGATATTCGGCGTCCACATGCCACTCATCTATGGCGAGGGTCGCGAACAAGCACAGAGAAGATTGCGAGAAGAGGTCCAGAGATCTGTACAAGGTGAGGCACAGCTCAGAAACTCAGAAGAGAGGATTCATATTGACTAATGCACTTAGGCACTCACCACAACAAGTTCTCGATCAGCTTCAGCCTGTCGGGCGTCCCCGAGACTCCACATTTCGTAGCAAGAGATGGAGAAGTAGCCGAGATGCGGAGAGTGCTGTGCTCGGATGGAAGCCGTCGCGTTGTCGTGCTCCATGGTCTCGGTGGCATTGGCAAGACACAGCTCGCTGCGACGTATATCAACCGATATCGGGACGAGTACTCTGCCATCTTCTGGCTCAATATCAAGGACGAAGCGCCCATTCAGCAGAGCTTTGCTAGGATCGCAACGCAGATCCTCGAACAGAATGCCGATGTCGGCAGCCTCAAGGGACTGGACCTGCAGCAAGACCACGACAAGATTACTCAGGCCGTCAAGGCGTGGCTTAGCTTACCAGGCAACACCAGATGGCTCATTGTGTACGATAACTACGACAACCCACAGCTTCCAGGACGGAAAACCGATGCTGCGGTTAACATACATCAGTTTCTTCCGATGGCATGTCAGGGCTCAATAGTGATCACAACACGGCTGTCGCAAATCGACATAGGACATCACATCCGAATTGAGAAACTCAAATCCGAACACGATAGTCTGCAAATACTGTCGAACACATCAGGCCGAAATGGCTTACAAGATGGTAAGAGTCTTGAGGCAGGCAGGTTTCAAGCCACTAATAGTGTCTTAGATAGTGACGCAAAAGACCTTGTGCGAGAATTGGACGGGCTTCCTCTCGCTCTAGCTACGGCCGGAGCATATCTGAAGCGCGCCCCAATCAGCATACGCAAGTACCTTCGCTACTACCAGGAATCTTGGGTCAGACTTACTGGTAATCTGCATCTTGGATCCTATGCAGATCGTACCTTGGCTACAACATGGCAGCTGTCATATGAACATGTTCAGACACAAAACCCACTTGCGGCTCATCTGCTCCAGTGGTGGGCCTACTTCAACAACGAAGACATATGGTTCGGTCTTTTCCGGGCTAGAAGCGGAATGGGCCCCGTGTGGATGGAGCAGCTTTCAGAAGAGCTCAACTTCAACGATGCAATGGGCGTACTCCACGACTACGGCCTTGTCGAACCTACAACCATATTCCAGGAGATACAGGGGTACAGTATACATGGTTGTCTGCATTCTTGGACGGTCCACATATTGAACGAGGAGTGGGACGGCTGCTTAAACAAGCTTGCAGTCGAGAGCGTGGCGTCGCAGGTTCCATCAAACGTGGAAGCTGAATATTGGCTGCTTCAGAAGCGACTAATTCCACATGCAATCCGGTCTTGTTCAACAGTACAGGAGAGCGATGTTTCCTCAGATTGGGCTTTTAATTCTCTGGGTGATCTCTACTCTGATCAGGGGAAGCTGGGCGAGGCGGAGAAGATGTACTTGCGGGCGCTCGATGGATATGAGAAGGCACTGGGACCGGATCACACATCAACACTCGACACAGTCAATAACCTTGGGATCCTTTACTTGCGTCAGGGGAAGCTGAGCGAGGCGGAGAAGATGTACTTGCGGGCGCTCGATGGATATGAGAAGGCACTGGGACCGGATCACACATCAACACTCGACACAGTCAATAACCTTGGGATCCTTTACTGGCGTCAGGGGAAGCTGGGCGAGGCGGAGAAGATGTACTTGCGGGCGCTGGATGGGAAGGAGAAGGCACTGGGACCGGAGCACACATCAACACTTCACACAGTCAACAACCTTGGCAACCTTTACTCTGATCAGGGGAAGCTGGACGAGGCGGAGAAGATGTACTTGCGGGCGCTGGATGGGAAAGAGAAGGCACTGGGACCGGAGCACACATCAACACTTCACACAGTCAACAATCTCGGGATCCTTTACTCTGATCAGGGAAAGCTGAGCGAGGCCGAGAAGATGTACTTACGGGCGCTGGATGGATACGAGAGAGCTGTTGGACTTGATAAAGTCACGACATACCGGCCAGCGATCAATACCCTTTCGAACCTAGGATCTTTGCGCTCCAAACAGGGCAATGTGGGTCAAGCTCGGCAATATTATCAACGTGCTTACGATGGTCTTGACCAGCTCCTCGGGCCATTGCACCCAGCCGTCCAGTCAGCGCGGCACACCCTCGAGCTCACGAATACCGCCTGTGAAGCTGGGACGTGTTCGAGCGATGACCAACATTTGGTTGATTCAACACAACCCCAGGTGTCAAATAAGAGGCGACGAGATATTTTGAAGCGGGTCCTACGTCTTCATATAGGGTAGAAAAGTCGATAGTATGTTAGTCTGATAATATAGCACATTTGATCATTATTTTAGGTCGATGTGACCAAAGAAACCCGCCGATGGAACCGCTGCTGCCTTGTCGCTTGAAGAGCCTTTTGTGGCCGATGATATACGCACGCAGTCGTCCATAGTGCGTCACGGGGGTCGAGCGGGGCTTACTTGATTGCTGAGGAGCAGGTGCACTCTGAAGCCGCTACCCGTGGCACGGGTCCTGCCAAAGAAACCCACCATGAAGATGGTCAACTGTTAGCTATTTCTGACAGGCGCTTGTTGTGGGTCAGCCTGCACAGTATTTGCCACGGTGTGCCACAGTTAGCTGGTCCGTGCGGAAACAGCAACTAATTTCGAAAAGCGGACACATTCAGTGGTCACTACTGTAACAGTCAATAATTGATAAATCTTTGTCGGACTACCAGCTGCTCCATTATTGAGCCAAGAGTTCAAGGGCAAACATTTGCTATATATATAGCTGCCTCAAAACACTCCATATGCAGCTCGGAGCCGGAGCATCCTGTACACTTACGCGGGCATGGAGACAAAGGGAAAATGATACTTAAATTGATCGCTGAGGAAAGATGATGGATGTGTGGCCCGTGAATATTCGAGAACAAATATGCCTTTCCTTCGCATCCGAAATTCATGATGATGTCTCGTGGCCTCTTGGTCCCTGTTTGATCAGCACTCGCGACAACTAATCCGACAGTTATTCTTTTGAGGCCAGGTTCTGTTATGTTTCATTGGCTTTGATTAACGAACCGGTCCTTGAATGATACAAAGGCACCTCCGTACATGACCGAGTCTTATGATGTCGCCGATTTTACATTTTACAGTCTTCCTTTGTGTGGTCGATCGCTGGTTCAAAGGTCATTTGCGCGACCCTCTTGACCAGGAGGTTTCCTGAGTAATGCAGCGATGGAAGATCAGTCCAGTTCAGGCGCATGTGAGAGTCGGATCCATAATCGTCTACAAGTCAACTAATACTAGAGGACAACTCAGACCGGATGTCTTTGTCCTTTGAGCGCGTTAGATACAGTCACTAACGGCCACGTCCTTTATAGCCTCGCCATGCTGTAGCCTCGTACTTCTGTGTCAACCACGCAGCCACAGATCTGCTCTGAGCATATGCGTACTGGAGGGCGCTTTGCCCCTCATAATCCGTTGCATGGATATCTGCGCCAAGATGAACGAGCTGGGCTATCGTCTCAACGGTCCCGAATCTCAGCGCAATATGCAGTACCGTTCCATGATAAGAAAGCGCGTTGATGTCGAGTCTGGCTTCTTGGACAAGATACTCGACGATTTCCGCGCGGGCCTCCCTATTCTTTGACCTCAGGGCGTAGGCAATGACTGGGACGCCGTTCGGGCCGATCGCTGGCAGATGCGAGTGCTGTGCAATCAGGCGGAGCAGATGCAGGCGCCCGAGCTGGATGGCGTATTCAGCAAGCAGCCGCCTATGGATAATGGTAGGCGCTCCCTTTTCTAGCAGATACCGGACCGTGTCGAGGTGCCCACCAAAAACTGCCGCAACGATGGGTGCCGTCCACAAGCCGGGCGACGTAATGTCAACGCCTCGCCCGTGGAGAAACTGCAGAACGACGGTGTGCCCCGCGTAGGCTGCCGCAGATGCTATGCTGTGGCCCCTCATCACATAGCGCATCCCTGCCGCGCCGTTTGCGAACAGATATGCAAGCAACTCGATATCGCCGCGGATAGCAGCGCCGATACAGGACTTTCCGAGCATCTCTGCAGTTGGGACGGAGCTAAAACGCTTGAGAGCGGCCGTATAACCCTGACAGGTACCATACCGAGCTTGCACGTAGAATGCATTCTCAGGTAGTGGACTGATAGCCTCGAGACGATGGATATATAGTTCAGCTTCCTCAACGCGACCCTGAATCATAAGAGCCAGCGATACAGCCTCCAGCCAAGCCGCCGACTCCTTGAAGTCCGTCCGCCGTAAGCTCAGCAGAAACTCCGTGGCGTAGGACTTGTTATGCTGGCGTTCCTCTTCTTCAGGGCTGAATGCTCGCCAGTACAAGTTCGCAACGAGGAACGCGATGAATTGGACATTCTGAAACGGCTTAAGATTGAGTTTGTACTCCTCTATTGCCAGGTCGCGGAAGGAAACTGGGGATGGAGCTGCTCGGTGATGGATCTCTGGACCATAGATGATTTTGAAAGCGATTTGGGCCACATCTCTCATGCCAGTAGACACCCTCTCAACACGGCATAGTGACTTGGCATCCAGATTTCCTAAGACACAAAGAAGGAGCTCGACGGGCAACCGTGTCAACAGGCATGAGGGGCCGACACTCGCATTAGTGTCCATAACCGAGATAGTCTTTGATTTCCAGGCAGAGATAAATGAAGCGAGCGGAGCAGGGCGTGCGAGAGAGACTTTTGGCCCGGAGCCTGATTTAATGACCGGATTGCCTCTCCATCATCTATCTGAGATAACTCTGAAAAATGCGCAAGACCTGCATTCCCGGACTACCGTGATATGTCATAGATCACAAGCTCTCAGGCCCTGCGCTCATATGATCAACGCATATACATTTGAATGTACAGTAGCCTTTAGCGAGGCGACTTAAATTTATTAATAGATGGCGTGGATATTTGTTTGTTAGGATTGCTTGGGTGTATACATTGTTTGAGCTGAATCATTTAACCCCCAAACGTCGCAATCCTCAGCCTCACGGGGGCGGACCTCCTGGCTCCATCGTCAAACGCTGCTAGGACATGGGCAGGCCCTCCCATCAGGTAGAAAGCAAAGCGTAAGTGTGATGTGGAGCAGGAAATGGGCTATTGGGAATACAATGCAGTACCCGACAAAGCATCTAGAGCTCTCCTGAGAGCAGTCAAATGGGGCACCGGAGCGCGCGACCACCATTTATTATTTATTGTTCCCTCTGTCCTTAGGCAGCTATGTAAGTACTGCACTGTTATTATTTCCCACTTTTGATAGAAAGTGTGGCCACAGATTTGTGGAGGAGCAAGATCATTTAGTTTTACTGATTATAGCCTCTGACTATCGCCTACTCAGCTGTGAATGCTAGGCTTTGCCAATAAACCTCCAACTCTGCTTCTCGGCAAAAGAACGGAATAAGCCATGTTCCAACGTGTTGGCCTTGTGTCCCATCAGAAACGGTTGAGCGTCAGGAGTGGCGAGAGCCGAGCCAAGTGTGCACAACTCGTCATGAGGCAATTTGCGGCACAGCTCGACCACTAATTTCCTGCGAATGCACCAATCGAGGGGCTGCAGGACGTCGGCAACATACCGAGCCGCCGTCCGCAGTTCACCGTTAATGGGCTTGTCTTCGGGAGTGTAGTAACACACCCTGGCGCCAGACCCACGTTCTATAGCCCGCGCCAGGTCTGCAGACACTACCGCCGCATCATCAATATACCCTTTGATACCTCTGTTCTGGAAGTGGACCACGAACCACTGCAGTGCGGCCAGTGAGAAGTTGTGCATCCAGATTTCGCACAGTTTGTCATCCATCTGCTGGGCTGTCCATGCACGTAGAACAATCTCCTCCTTCTGCTGCGGCGTGACCTCGCATGAGCCAAGGCTTATCCAAGCAGCCAGCTGCCGCACTCTGAGGGTTGCAGATGAGCCAACAATGCGCGTGACCATCTGTCTCTTTGTGATGAGGAGCTCCGAGATGCGGTCCCCATACTGCTCGGCCATCCACTCGGCGACGGCTCCACTGTGAGAAATGGCGTGCTCAAAGGCATCCTGGCCAAGGAGGTCTGTGGCATGTATATCGGCGCCCAGGCTGATCAGCAGCGATACCGTCTCCACGTCTCCGGATCTGATCGCCAAGTGCAGTGCCGTCCCATTGATTCCCAGGGCATTGATGTCCAGCTTGGCTTCCTTGACGAGGAACTCCACAATCTCTCTCCCTCGATCCTTGTCGCGCAATTCCACGGCGAACCCGATACTCAACATGCCGATGGAGTTGGTCGTCGGCAGTGCCGAGTGCTGGCTCAGGAGCCTGAGCACACTCAGGCGCCCTCTCCAGATGGCATGTACCGCGAGAAATTCCCCGTCGATTTTGGTGGGAGCTCCCTTGGCCAGCAGGTAGCTGACAGTTTCGTAGTGGCCGTTGTTGACTGCCGCGAGTATGGGCGACGGCCATAGGTGGTGGCCGGTAATGTCTACGCCACGACCCTGCAGGAACTCCAGCACCGCGTTCTGCCCTCCAGAAGCGGCCGCCGACGCCACGCTGTGACGATCGACTATGCAGCAGAGATTGATCGCATACTTGGCGCACAGGTACTCGAGCAGGTCGACGTCACCGCGAGCGGCAGCCCCGATGACGAGTTTGTGCAGCATTGTGGAGCTTGGTTCGGCGCCAAGGCGCTGCAGTGCCTCGATTAAGCGCTTGCGCGAGCCGTAGCGCGCCAGAGCTATGACCATTCCTTCCGACGGCGGCCCGAGGGCGGCCAGCTGAGCGTAGCATTGGTCGGCTTCCCTCAGGCGGCCCTGTATCATGAGCGCCAGAGCCGCGGTTTCTAGCCAGACGGGACTGTATGCAGCATCACTACGTCGCAGGCTGAGCAGGCTGAAGACGGCAAACGACTGGTTGCCACTGTCTATGGGAGAGTGGACCTGCTCATACATGGCGTACAAGAGGGCCGTGATCTCCCACGTGTAATGGAAAGGGGTGCAGTCTAGTTTGTACTCCTCGATCGCGAGCTCCCGCAATGGCGAAGGCGATAGAGCCACTCGATGTCGGACACCAGGACCGTATACTCCTCGGAAAGCACTATGTGCTGCATGCCGCAAAGCCTGGCATACTCTCTCGGCATACCACAGTGACTTGGCGTCGAGGTTCTCGAGCACATAAAGGAGCAGCTCGGGCGGCAGCCGCGTGAGAGGAAATGGTGACCCACTACACAAACCCTCGGTCGCCATAGTGAGGCCCGGTGAACACTTTCGCTATGTCGGGTTGGGCAGGCTGAGCCGGCAGAGATGGTGACGTAACTTCATCGCTCGACCACTGTATCATTGAGCAAACTCTTCGCTTTATCGAAAAGCCCTCTGAGTCTTGCCGTGAAGTATTCATATTCTACATGTATGCTACTGCTCACAGCTGCCAAACGATCCGTGGCGTGTTCTGAGCTCGCCTCCGGCGAAAGACGCTGGGCACCAAGGTGGGCGGGTTTGTGTGTGTATGTTTGTGCATCCATGTTTGCGGAACTTGAGTATGTCCCGTGGGGGTTTGTTCGCGAATGCTGGGTCTGTTTGTGGGTGAGGAGATTTGTTTGGACGGGGGACCTTAGCAAAGCAGGTGGAGCAGAGCATTAGTCTGAGTGGTTGCAGCTGATGAGCTCCACAAACTGACACAAACCCGAACAAACACACAACTGCAAGTGTGAGTCCAATGAGAGCCGGCAAGGGGTTGTCAGATCCACACACTCCTGGGTCCCCATGCTTTGTGCTGCAGGCTCATGAGGCCTGCATCCCTGCTAGTGCCGTAGTAGACTCGGCCGTCATGCATGAGCGGACGGGGCTCTGCCAGACGGCGCACCGGGCCGGGTTCGTGCTGTCCCCGACCGAACACGGGGCCGTGAGGGCATACGCCTGGCGATATGTGGCATAATCACAAATTTGGGCAGTCAGGTTGGTCATGTATGATTTGAAAACTTGGCAGGAAGCGGCGGTTTACTGCGCTGTACTGGGATGTCAAGCCAACCCCGAGTCCCATCTCAAAATGGACGATTTGCCCTACCCCGGTCGTTGTGCTGTGAGGGGGAGAGGGCCGTTGTTGGTTCTCGTCAACAGCCACCATCAGATCCACTGACACGGGTCTACGCAACCCCCCAGACGAGTCAGCCGAGGGAAACCACCTGGTCTCTTTTTGGCGCGCGCAGAAATTCACGCAGTCTGCTCAAGTTTTCCCGGTGAGGTTCATGTACTGCAAGGCCGAAGAGCTATAACAAAGTCAATTATCAGCAGGCAGCCGCCTTGGAGTGCCCATCTCAGGACAACGGACAGTTCCCGTCCCAGGGAATTCTCGCAATGAATCTGCGCCACCTCCTCACGATCGGAGCTCTGGCGGCTAGTCAGAGCTCCGACTATGTCGGCAGCCAACAAGCCCTCACCCACCACGACCACGACCACCACGACCACCACCAGCCGCATGTGCTTGCTCAGCTCGCCGCCGTCCCATGGCCGCGCCCAGCCAGCCGGCGGAGCCTGATGAGCGCGAATATCTGCCGCTGCCTGCCGGGTGATTCATGCTGGCCCTCCCAGGCGAGGTGGGACGAGCTCAACGCAACTGTCTCGGGCAGACTGGTGGCGACCGTCCCCATTGGCTCAGTCTGCCATGACCCGACCTACGACGAGCAGGCATGTACAGCCCTCCGCGCGTCGTATAGCGAGCCAGAGACACACTACAGCTCGTCCTCGTCCATGATGGAGCGATTCTGGGCCAACCAGTCCTGCAACCCGTTTGCGCCGCGGGAGACGTCCTGTGCCGACCTCGGCAATCTCGTCAGCTACTCCGTCAACGTGAGCGGGCCGTCGGACATCGCCGCAGCGATAGGCTTTGCCAAGTCTGAGAATATTCGGCTCGTGATCCGAAACACCGGGCACGACTTTGTCGGGAGGTCGACGGCGCGCGGGGCGCTGGCGGTGTGGACGCATCACCTCAAGTCAACGGAGTTCGTGGCGGCCTACCAGTCGGCACTGTACACTGGGCCAGCACTGAAGATGGGCGCGGGCGTGCAAGGCTCTGAGGCTGCAGCGTTCCTTGCGCCGCTCGGGTTCGTGGCCGTCGGCGGCTGGTGTCCATCGGTGGGTGTCGCCGGAGGCTTTACCGCCGGAGGTGGCCACTCGCCGCTGGGGTCCAAGTTTGGCATGGGCGCGGACCAGACACTCGAGTTCGAAGTGGTCACAGCCGAGGGCGTGGCGATCACGGCTTCTCCAGTGGTCAACCCAGATCTGTACTGGGCACTGAGCGGCGGCGGACCCGGCAACTACGGCGTGGTGACAAGCGTGACCGTCCGGGTGTACCCGGACGCGCCGGTCGCCGGCCTGTTTCTGATGATTGACCGGAAGACCGCATCGCCCCTCGCTTTCTGGGCGGCCATGCGGGTCTTCTTCGAGCTGATGCCGGCCATAGTGGACCGCGGGGTCGGAGCGACGTTCAGCCTGGGCGCCGACGTGTTCTACCTGACCCCGCTGACGGCGCA